TAAGCATCTCAGGGGGTGGGAGTAGTTGGGATCAGTGTTAATCTCGCCAAAGTATTCATTAATTATACTAGCAGGATCAATGATAGAACTTATTGACTGACAAATTGACTTCCTCCCAGTGATAGAGTTAATGGTAGACCACCATGATCTTGTCCCCTTATCATGCTTGTTCGAATCATGTTTAACAGCCTGGAGTTGGTTTTCCCTGATCAGCTTATTAATTCTCTCCTGGAGTATTGTAACATTGGGGTTTTGTTTTTGTCCACCTTTCCGAAGAAGTGCTTGCCCGCGTTTTAGAAGATGTTTTACTAAAGGTGACATGAAAGGCGGGTCTCTTGATGACATTAGCACAGTCTTCACTGGAAAACAGACATTGTACATTTGCATTAGTGCAAACTGAAAATTTTGCACTTTCTCTTGAATGCATTGAGTAGAAAGCACAGAAGACCATTTGTGCTCCTCAAGCAGTTTAGACATTTTGATCTTATAGTGTTCTCTCACATCTCGAAAGGCTTTTGTATAACGATCTGCCCTCACATGATCTTTTGGATAGGCTAGGACCATATGGTGGTTTGTTCTTACGGCAGATTTAATAACTTTAGTCTTGCTCCATAGATGGGGTTTGCTTGTAATAAATACATCAAGAATTTTGTTTTTTCTTGTGGGTTCTTTCACAAGTTGAGCGAGAGAAGCTTGGGTTAAAAGGTCTTTATATTTTAGCTCATTCAGATCTCCACCAATAACTATAATGTTATTAGGGTCCATATATGTTATCTGTTCACATGTGTCTCCAAGAAACTCCAACAAGTCCTCCTCTCGATATACAGGTTCCGGTGGATGGTAAATGGAGCACATATGAAAAACTGAATTAGGAGCTGATATTCTTGCGCACATACACTCAAAGTCATTCGCAAATTCATCCAAAATCACAATTTTCCAGTCACATCGGCAGAAAATAGCAACTCCACCTCCTCTGCGTTCTTCTCTATCATTTCGTAACACAGTAAAACCAGGTGGACATATGAGATGTGTTGGAAAGTTCTCTTTCAGCCAGGTTTCACACACAAGAGAGATGTCGCAATTATTGTCAGTTAACTCGGCATAAAATGCAGGGAAAGCATCTTCCTTCGCTATGGGTCTAGCATTCAGAACCATTATTTTTGGGATGATCTTAGCTGGAAATGGCTGTACTGTAACAGGTCTTAATAAGTTGGCATTTCTTGATCGGATTGCGTGACTTGTGCGTGACCCGCGAATATTTCGGTTCTGACTTGATGATATTACTTGGATTCTGTTGAAATATTTCTTTCTCCTTCCAGCACGTCGACCTCTAGCTCTATAAATACCCAAGACCTTAAGGATTTGGATCGTGTCTGTGTTCACTTTAAAGCGGTAAAAGCGAAGAGCCATTAGATCTTGTCTCGAGTACACGTGTGTTCGTTCAACTGGGTCGCTTAAAATGTCCCTGTTCGCTTGCTGTAGATTCTGTAGCTCAGGAGTTGCGCTAATCGGTCCAGGTGTAACTTGGACATCCATATCAACGGATAATTCTTTGATATAGCCATATTCTGATAGTGTAACCACCACCATTCCATTTTTGCTCCATTTCGTAACTGGGCTCTTGACTGACGCCAACAGCCATGGCCGACACGATCCTGATGTCGGCCATTTTCGCAACATTGCTTGCGATATTTTGTTAGGATGTCGCAAGTGAAAATCGTGTGCTTGTGGGTGGTCAAAAGTCATGATGTATGCTAATCGCGCACGATAGTTGTAAGCAAAAATCGTGCTGTCTAAATCGGCCTTAATGAAAGAGGACAGAGCCAGCATCCCCTTAGCCTTAAGGCTCGATGTATCAGACAAGATACACACAGGTCACCAAGAAATGCCGTGAAAGGGCAAAAAGTGGTGTATGGTGGCCGAACATCAGCAAGCAGATAGAAGACCTTGTCAGGGAATGCCCTACTTGCATTAAGACGAAAGCTAATCGTGCAGAGCCCATGATTTCTTCACAGTTACCCGAGCGTCCATTCCAAAAAGTAGGAATTGATCTATTCAAATGAAAAAGACAAGAATTCATCCTCTTGGTAGATTACTTTTTGTGATATTGTGAAATTAGAGTACTTCGAAAATCCACCTTTAAAGAAGTGATCAATCACCTAGAACCGATTTTCGCGCACCATGGAATTCCAGAAACCACGATCTCTGATAACGGCGCACATTATTCCTCAGCAGAATTCAATTACTTCGCAGAAGACTGAGAATTCACACGCATTATATGAAGTCCGAAATACCCCCAAAGCAATGGACAAGTCGGACTTATGGTGCAGACAACTAAAAACCTCCTGACACTTGAAAACGGATTTAGCCCAGCCGATCTATGTGTGAGAAATGATCTTCAGCTGCCGATTGCAGTGTATTTGGATCCGAAACAGGCCAGATACAGTTACGTGGTTTGCTTTAACTTTGTGTGCAGGGAATGACGTTGGAGACATGCTTGTATGTCAATGTTTACGCAGTTTCTATTCACATTCCATCTGAATTTTAAATATCATCCCTGGGGATTAATTAATGATATGCAAATGAGTATATATAATAGGAAACACTAGCACGCTTTGTCCCATTCACTTCACTGCGTCGACAAGGGCGTTTGGCGTCAAAGGTGGTGGAACCCTACTTACTCGCTGAAGATGGCGGCGACCGCGAACGAGCAAGTTGTTCGCCCACCTGCTGCAGAGCAGGTTGCTTTGGCTGTAGCGGAGGCGGCTGGTAATCAGCCTCGACAGGCCGAGGGTCAAGTTCTGGTCCAACAAGTTTTCAATGCTCCAAATGATGGCGGAGGCCACGCTAACGCTCCAGCTCTTAAGGTATCGTGTTTCATATCTTTCGGTCGTGGATTTAAGTTCCCTCATTTAGCCGGGTTTCGTTTTTCTTTAAGAGGTGGAAAAATTGTAGTTTTATGCCTACGTGGAGGCAAATTGTTAGTTTTATTTACGCCTGTGTGGCTGCACGTCTGTATTTTTATGCCTGTGTGGTGCTAAATAGTGAGTTTTATTTACGCCGGTGTGGCGATAAGTTTATGCCTGTGTGGCAGTAAGTCTGTGGTTTTATGCCTGTGTGGCAGTAAAATTGTGAGTTTTATTTTCGCCGGTGTGGCGATAAGTTTATGCCTGTGAGGCGGCAAGTTTGTGGTTTTATTCCTGTGTGGCGGTTGAATAGTGAATTTTTTATTTACACCTGTGCGGCGGTAAGTTTATGCCTGTGTGGCGGTAAGTTTGCAGTTTTTTTGCCTGTGTGGTAGTAAAGTTGTGAGTTTTATTTTTCGCCTGTGTGGCGATAAGTTTATGCCTGTGTGGCTGTCAATTTAAGAGTTTTGTTTTCGCCTGTGTGGCGATGAGTTTCTGCCTGTGAGGCGGTAAGTTATAGTTTTTCACGCCTGTGTGGCAGTAAATTGTGAATATTTTTTACGCCTGTGTGGTGGCACGTTTTTTGTAGTTTTTATGCCGGTGGGGTGGTAAAATTGTGAGTTTTCTTTATGCCTGTCTGGCGAGGAGCGTATCCTTGTGGAAGTAATCCCAACAGCTTAGTATTGTTCCGATTTTGTTTTATTTTCTATTTGGTGTTACATTGACATCTAGTTTTTTTCTTCCTGTAGTTTTCGCATCTAATTGTTAGTCTTCTAACTCCATTACACTGTGAAGTTTGTCGTGCAAATAATAATAATATAAATAAATGAAATAAAAGAAAAATTAAGGAAAAGAAAAAGAGCTAAAGGAAAGAGTTTCGTCGAAATCCGGTTTCCTAACTCGGATGCACGCTTGTCCTTTATACCTCGGGTGAATTCAGATAACTTTGCAGTCTGACGNAATGAAATAAAAGAAAAATTAAGGAAAAGAAAAAGAGCTAAAGGAAAGAGTTTCGTCGAAATCCGGTTTCCTAACTCGGATGCACGCTTGTCCTTTATACCTCGGGTGAATTCAGATAACTTTGCAGTCTGACGTTGACACTGTTTTGCGTCGTTTTCGTTCGGATCATGTTTAGTATATCTTGTTTATGGTTTACGGGTTTTTAGTGATTTTGAAAGAGAAATAGAAGAAATAGAAAGAGGTGAGACTCAAACAAACGAGCTTGTTTTAAACTATTTTCATTCTATGATTTGTCTTGCATATGTTGGTTTGGATTTTGCAAATTGCTCTTATGTCAATTTCTATCTGGCTTGTTGCGGACAAAATTGTGAGAGGCCTCGGTCAAGGCATGACAATGTGGTTTGTTTTTGTTTTCTTTTTGACACCAGTTTTTAACGCTGTCCCTGTTTAAGGACGCTCAAAATATGAATGCAGTAATGACACGCCTTCGAAGGCTCGAAGATGGTCAAAAGGCTACAGTGGACTCGTGTTTGGAGGAATTCAGACACTTGGTCAAGTCGCCAATGTTCACGAAGGATCGTGCTTTGGATCGTCTATAAAATTGAAGTTTTAAGATGGTGGCTAAAGAGGCTAATCATCCAAAGACTGGATTTTTTGAGGCAGTCTTTCGGGCCTTGAGACAAAACACCGGCGGGATGGATGACCAGTTGAAGAAGTACCTGGAGGTTTTTGTCGGTGATAAGGATCACGAGAAAGTGTTGGAGTCCATGGCTACAGCAGATAAGGCGATGAGAATTTCTCCACCGGCCACTCGCGGGTTCAGTTATTATAGGGGCGCTGGGCGTGTAAACCGCTCTTCGTTTCAGTGCTATTATTGCTACCAGTTTCCCTGTTGCCCTGGGGGAGGGCTCAGACCTTTTCCCAGATCTGGGTGAGTATCCCCCGTCGGCCTTCTGCATTTATCAGTAGTCGGCGGACGTTCTGTTATCAGTCATTTGAGGTTGCTCTCTCCTGGTTGGGGACTCCGTCTATATTTTCTCATTTGGGGTATTTCTGTTCTCATATTATTTCTCCGTTTCCCTTCTCCTAGGTCCCGCCCTTAAAGAAAATAAGACTGCAAATTTATGGAGTGGAAAGCAGAAATAGGGAAGGGGTTTGAGGAGTTTGTCGAGCAGGTCATCTCTTTGCAATCCAGAATATCCCGATCTTGGGTTAGTGTAGATGGAGTTTCCGACTGAGAGGGAAAACAGGAGTTAAAGGTGCATTGAAAAGATGTGTTGATGTCGGGTGTTGAGCCACAGTTAAGGACGTTAAGGGTGAGGGACCCTGATGAGTTTATTGCTGGTGGCCTCCACACCAATCTGAATGCTTGGGAATTGACCTTAAGCCATCACCCGTTAGCACAGGAGATTCTCGGTTGGATACGCCATAGAGTGGATATTTTGCACTTCAGTCAACCATTCTCTGGTTTGTATAAACGGGTCCATTATTGTTCGGATCGGCCGCTCGCGAGACATTTTGTAAATCATGCGTCTTGGAAGAGGTTCTCGGAGTTTGTATCTTGGAAATTAAGAAACGTCTAGTCACTGGGGCCGTTAGAGTCTGGGGGAAAGTGGGTGTGTCTGCTCCTCCACATGCGGTCTTGCCCTTGACAGTGGAACCTACCAAGCCTCGGCTGTGTATCGATGCGCGGTTCGTAAACTTATGCATGAAAGATTCGCCTTTTGCCCTGGATAGATTCTCTGATGTTCTGAGATTCGTCTAGAAAGGCTCGTTTACGACCAAATGTGACGACAAGTCAGGGTACGACCATACTTTGCTATTGAAGAGCTCGCAGGCATATTTTGGTTTTAAATGGGTGGCTTATGGTTTGTGTGCACTACTCTTCCCTTAGGGTCGAAATGTCTCCGTATGTCTACCACACAACAGGTCTGGCAGTATCTGGTTTCCTTAGAGAACAGGGTATAGTTTGCTCGCTTTACATTATTTACCGCCTTAATGGGGAACTGCTAACGAAATCTGGGCCGTGGTCGATCCTCTATTACGATAGGCAGAAAGAATTCGGAGTTAAGGCTGCGAGGCCTGCCATATTTATTGTCCACTCAGTGCTTGTTGAGCTTGGGTATACGATTGTGATTAGCAAGTCAGTTCTGTATCCCACGACTTCCTTAGAGTACTTGGGCTTTCTAGTGGATTCTGAAAAGCAATCCTTCATCATACCGCAGAGCATGATTGTAGCCTGGGCGTTCTTGCAAGAAAAGATACTGGCTTGTAAGAAATGCGTGGATGTTAAGAATCTGCAACGGTTCCAGGGTTAATGTATTTCTTTGTCGTTGGCTGCGCCAGCTGCGAAGTTGTTTATAAGGGAGATGAGTCATGCAATCACGACAGCTTCGTCCAATGGGCTGGTTCCTCTGTCTCAGGCCTTGAGATCTGAGTTAATTCATTGGCGTTTCCTAGATACGGTAATTTCGCAAAAGTGGCACGCAGACGTTCCTCCTTCGCGCGGAGGAACGTCTGCGACTCAGCGACAGAAATTCCGTACTGATGACGTAAAATATGTCTGGAATCCGGTCAGAAAAGCTGATTGGTCGGCGGAGCAGTTACTTTTTTTTTCGCTATTGTTCACGAATGACAGACAAAAGATAAAAGGCCACAAAGGTCAAATGTAAACGCGAAGAATCTCTAACAAAACAGTGAATATTTGTGGAATATAGTCTTCTCTAGAAGAAGCATTTGAGTTTTACTGGAGCTTGTTCAGATGGACACAACACTTTACCAAAATCGACTAGAAGACACGAAAAAGTGGACAAATTTATATTTGATACCCCATGACTACCAGGTTTATTATGTAAACATTGATTTGCGTCATCAGTATGGAATTTCTGCCGCTGAGTCGCAGACGAAAACGTCCACAGCGGCGAAGAGCGAGGAGAAACGGATGTTTTCGCAGGCTTTTCTCTCTACTGTCCAGGGGCACCCAACGGCAATTTTCGGAAAATGTCTGTTCGGAAGACAATTTGAGATCTAGAATTTTTGGAACATTTGTTGTGAAATTTCTTGCCTGCCTGCATCTCCTAAGATTTTCGAACATCTACAAAATTGTATAATCACCCATTTTTAACGGATTTTTACCCTAAAAAAGGCCACCTAGAATTTTCGGGAGCCTTTTCCTGGCTGAAATTTTCGAAAAGATAAGTTTTGATCCCTATAATATTCGGATCACTAGACTTTCAGCTAGGAAATCCGAACAGATGAAAAGTTTTTAGGGGATAAAAATATGCCTTTATCTACCGTTTAAATACTAAAATACGTTCAACAATGCTATGTTAAGGTATCATCCACCCTCAAGTACCCTCCTCGCGTTGATCGGCGCTAGCGCTTTCGCTTTTAACAAACACCCCCATAAACCGTACATTTTCTGAAAGCTTAATAGTTCCAGATTATTGCTTATTTCTTTTAAAAAATCAAAACATTAACGCGATTTAGAAATTAGAAGCTTTTTGTGAAAGTGGGTATCATTGTAAATTTAAGTCCAG